CAAGACTCCCAAACTTGAGTAGACTTCGACCAGAGGTCCCATCCCACTGCACCAGTTGTCTTGAAGGTTCTTGAGTTTTTGAGCTGAAGCTCACTTGCTGTAAAGAGTGTTAAACATTTTTTCTTACTTAAAATTACCATAAAAGAAAAATTTTTGGCAAAACGAATGCGATCAGGAGAGAGTTTTTTTATTAACTTGAAATTTAATAAATTAAGAAATAAGATCTTCATTAATAAAAAAAATGATTAAAATTAAAAACAAATGATTTGATTAACCATTTGTTAAATCAAATCAATTATTAATAATTAATTAACAATCAAATTAAAAATAAAATTTGATAATTACAAAATTTTTATTTGCACTTGATTAATTTCAAATAAATCAAAAAATCTTGTTGAAATTAAAGAAACAATAAATAAAATTGTTATTTATAAATTTTATGTAATAGATTATTTAATACACATTTATAGCTTGGCTTAATAAGAATAAAATTATTTTTTAAAAAGATAAATAATTTAAGGCATATGGTCAAATTAACTAAAGAATAGTTTATGAAAATTTAATTAAAATATTTGATTAACTATCAACAAACAAAAATTAACCGTGAGATGATATAAAAATTGCTTAGAATAGTTTTGATAGAACATTGTAAAAAGTAAATATTAAGACTGAAAGAAATTCTAATGTAATTAAGATATACTCAAATGGTAGCTATTATATATAAATATATCCTATAAGTTTAATAAAAATTTATAGCACCGTATAATAATTTAGGACTATGTTTAATAAAAATATAAGAAAATAACATTAAATTACTTAACTTTCGTGATATGCTTTATCTCTTGTATACGTACGTATATGAATAATTTATACAACGCAACCAATTTTGAGATAGTATTGACAAATTTGTTCATGACAAAATTCCATACAATGTATACAGGTTAACTCTGTTTCACTGAAAATTTATTTTATAGTTGTTTTATTTCCTTTCAAAGGTTACAACTTATGAAGACATCGCATTTATAGTTGACAACACTCAATATTGCCATATAAAATAAAATTTTTTAAAAAAAAAATTAAAAAAAAAATAAAATTTCGATTTTTTAATATTTATGTAATGACGTGAGTTAAGCAAGTACTCCACTATCAAGGACCTCTTTGTCTTTAGTAATTTCAAGAGTTTGGCCAACCAAAAAATCGACATCTCCAGGACCAGTCGCACTGAAAGGCTTGGTACCAGGTAGCTGGATTTCTATACCCAATTGTGCAAAGGTAGTGGATGTAATTCCAACTACAACAGCATATACGTTAGGATCATTAACCGTAAGGCCTTTATGGATTTGACCAGAAACCGTGACTTTATTGACGTCAACTTGTTCGAATGTAATTGTAGCATCGAGTTTGGTTAAGGTAACGCTCACTTTTTTGCCAATTTCGGCACGACGTACGGGGGATGCGTGAATACTGAATACGAGTAGAGAAAGGGCCAGTAAGGTGATGAAAAGGGTGCGTTTTAACGACATTTTGAAAATTTTTTGGAAAATTATGCTGTTGGTAATAGATTTTTTTTCCTCAAGAACACACAAGTCAGTTCTTTTATATTTAATTTTTAAGCTATTTCTAGTCTTTTTGCGTTCTCAACCCCACATGAATGTGAAAGTGATCTCTCATACCTGTCGACACATGATGAGCAACGATTAAGGCTTTTGCTCCTTCATTATAATGTACTCTATATGGCTTTTTCTAATGTAATAAATTGACTTTAATTAAAAATTACCAAGATAATCTTAATTATATAAATATATACAGTATATTCCGACTCGGAAAAGAAAATCATTTTACCTGACGGAGATTTGCTAACTCCATTCAATTATCACGTCATTTTGTTAAAGCTTAGATTCGACGGCCTTTAAACGTTTTCGAATTTCACTGTGTTGTTAACCATCTTATTTTCTTAATATATGAAATATGAGAAAATCCGAAATTCATAATCGTAAAATTTATTTTTAAAACTAACCAAAACCCATAGGTAAAGATTGTATCAGATTCCGTTCAGATAATTGACATCATTCATTGATTGAAAACATCCAAAAATTTTATTTTAAAAATCTAACGTGGAAAAAAGATGATCGAGCGTTAGCGAAGATCATCAAGAAATGTATGAACGAGTGATGATATACTGTATGTAGTATAGCCATTTTATTTAGCAGCGTTCTAATTTTAGAGATTTTCAATATTAAAATATTAAACCGAGAAATTGTTACATTTTTTTGGGGGTTTTTTTGTATGTTTTCTTTTTAGGCCGTTATTTCAATATCTACTAAGCACAGTGGTGGAACAAATAGAAGTGTGATCTGTTACTATTCAATATAATTATAAAGAGTGAATACTTCACTCGTTCATACATTTCTTGATAATCAAGTGTTAGCAAAGATTATCAATTTTTTTAATTCCTCATTGATAAAATCTCTGATAAACAGTATAGCTTGACTAATTCCTTAAGGCTAATATAGAAGGTAATCCGTGCCTGCATCCTGTACAAAGAGTGCTAATAAACTTCTGATTTTCATTAAGATCTGTTTGTCCTAAGATAAACTTTAACCAATTTGAAATTTTATCAGTCTTAAATAGTGTTTAAATGGGTCATTCGGTCTTAAATTGATCTGCAATAAGTCAGGTCGGGTCAGGCAGAACTTATCAGGTCAATAGAAATTATTAATGTATTATTTAGAATAAAAATAACCAATATATTTAAATTCATATCTTAATAAAGGATTCTATAATATTTATAAATAATATATACAGTATATGTAATTTAAATAAGTTTATAATTAATTTAAAGAAACATGGAAGATAATCATATAGAAAATGAAATATTTTCTTCGAATGAATTATCTTTCAGTAGTGAATTAGAAAATATTTTAACTGATGAAAATTATAATAAATTACATTCACTTAATAATATACAACTTTCTTCAAATAATTCTGCAAGTCAAATAAGTACAAGTTCTTTGGTATCAACAAATATATCATCTTCTGTATGGAATTATTTCAAGAAAAATGATGATGGTATTCCATATTGTTTAATATGTAACAAAATATTTATTCCTTAAATTGTAAGGCATTTTTTTAATAACATTTAAAAATTTTTGATTAAAAAGTTATTTTTCATTTATTTTTTTAAATAATCAAATATTTTTTAAAAAATTTATATAATATATGTTTTGATTGTATATTATATATTAATAGTATTTATTTTTTATTTATTTAATAAAATTTAAAGTTTAATTATAAACAAAAATTTTAATTTTTTAAAAAAAAATTTTTAATAAAAGTTGATCTTAGACAAACTTAAAATTTTTTTAAATTAAAGTTCATATAATCATAATTAATTTTGTAAATTTATTTATAAAGAATAACTTTAATTATTACAATTATTACAATTTTAATAATTTAATTATAAAGATTTTAACTTGTATTAGAAGTAAAATACCTTTAAACATATACTAAATTTTAAACACAAAGTTAAAAGTTATTTATTTAATAAAATTTAAATTTTTTACTTAATAAAGTTAATAAAGAATATTTAAACTACATTTTTTATAATATAAGTAAATTATAAAAATTAATATTTAAAATTTTATTAAAATTTTTTAAAAACTTATTAAAATTTTAAATATGCAAACAAATTTACCTTTATTACAATTTAAGAAATAAAAAAATTTTTAACTTCAAGTTTATAATGATATCAGAACAAAAACATCATATTAAAGCGGAACAACTATATAAGTCAAAATCACAACCTGAATAATTTTATTTATATAATTCTAATAAGCAAATCAAATAAGATTGTCCTATTTAATTTGGATAGTCTATCATTAACAACTATTTTCAGTAGTAACAAATAAGTATTTTCAAAATTTAATTTATAACTGAATCTACATTATATAATATCTAGTCAATTTAAAATCAAAAATAAAACAATTTTATAATTAATCAATGCCAAATTCAAATTCAAAATTATTTAAAGCAATTATTTGAAAAAGTGGTTTTTACAATTTATATGTGATCAAATTTTAAAAATGAAATATTTATAGGAGTTACAATTTACTTTAACTATATAGAAAACAAAAAAAAATAATTGCATCAATATTAAACCACTCAAGATCAACAATTTAAATGAACAAAATTATAATACAAGAATCAAAAATTACAGTCACTACTGATTCAAATAAAATAAAAAAGATGGTATGTATATACTTTTATAAACACATAACCAGTTTACATGAAGAAGAAATACTATAAAATCAAGAGTATAGACTTAAAGAAAACATAAAGCAAGAATGATATCAAGAGCTCTTAGCAACAATTTAAGTAACAAAAATCAGTAAAATAATAAAAAGTATGTTTAACAACTCTGTCTCTAAAAAATCCAGCATTAGCTATTTACTTCTCAAATATTTAAAAGAGAAAGCACTAGAGAGAATTATTAAAATCTTTAATGCAATATTAGCTACAAGAGAAATTTTAAAAAAATGGCAAGAAAATATAATCTATTCAATCCCAAAGAAAACAGACTGACAACATAATCTCAATCTGATAAGACTAATTATACTTTTGAAAACAATCAAAAAAATATTCACAAAAATGCTTAATAACAAATTGACAAATATAATGATAAAGCACTTTATTATGTTAGACAAAAACTGGGCAGGACTTTCAGAAAAAAATATATAAGAACTGATCAATGTCATTAACAATATTTTAGAAGAAGCAAGAGAGAACAAAAAAGAGTGCTGGATATTAAGCCAGGATATAAACAAGGCATACAATTCAATAAACCATAAAATGTTAGAAAAATCCATGAAGAGAATTAAAATCCCAGCAAACATTATTAATATAATAATAAATTTGTTCAAAAACCGAAACAATTGTATCATAACATACTATAAATTTATAGTCTTATTTCAATCCAAAGTAGAATAAATTAAGAAGATATAATATCTTCACTACTATAAAGAATATACCTTATAAATAAGATTACCTCTCTATCATTTTTCCTATAAATATAAGTATAAATTAAATTTAATATAAACTGATAATATTTTAAAATGTATTATAAAACTTATAGGACCAAAAGAATCCCCAAAGCTGAAATTAATATCATTCCATGTCGCAGAAAGTGTACTGACAGGGTCTTCGAGAAACTGCCAGTATTTATCGATACTGGTGAACTTGAATTCAGTTAAAAATTGCAAAGTTGCATTGTAAGTTACTATATGAAATTAATTAGTGTAACATTAGCAGCTAGCCAATAATAATTAATTATTTTTATATTTTATCAAATCGTACAATTTAAAGAAATTACTGCTTTATATTTTAAATTTACTTTTGTAAAGCTACAACTTGTCCACATCGAAACAGGATTGCTTACAAGATTTATAATATTGTTCTATACTATATTGCTGATTCAATTTCTAGCATGCTGCCAATTAATTCAAGCATGCTAATTTGTATCGAACAGCTATAGCCAGTATTTGCTTGCCTTGCATCAAACCAGGGTTGCCTACTGGTTGCAGCCTTGACATTTAACTTTATACTGCTGCAAAACCAATATATATCGAAAACTTGGTTCTACATCAAATCAGGGTTGCCCACTGGTTACAGTCTCAGCCAAGCAAGTGGCAATAGCTATTTTCATATGTATCGACTTAACAAGTTCTACATCAAACCAGGGTTGCCCACTGATCGCAGTCTCAACTCATTTAACAGCTGATAACAAGCATGAAAGCAAAATAGGCATGGCGGTACACCACCTTACATCAAATCAGGGTTTCCCACTGGTTACAGTTTTGATAGATACATTTGATCGATGCCAAGATATCGTTGCTTTACCTATCTGCTGCCTTACATCAAACCAGAGTTGCCCTCTGGTTGCAATCTTAACAAGTATCAATGGCTTGCTAGTATATTACCTTTTTATTGCAGCATGTATCGACAAAAGAACACATCATGGGAAACAATCATTGAAAAACACCCCCAGTTACTTGTTTGCACGATCGATCGATAAATTTATTTTTGCCTGATAAATATGATAGCTTACAGGTAAGTTCAGCGTGAATAGTTTTTTTGAATGCTTTGCTAAAAAAGGTCATTTCTGTAATCGATGCAAGTATATAATTAATTATTAATACTAATGTTCAAGTAATAACATGATTGATTTTTTTTAAATCATTATATAATTATTACTTACTATAATAAAATACTGGTAACAGCAGGAAATTCAAGTGCTGGAGTATAGTTGTTGAATATAAATAAAGGCAGTTAGTTACAGTATTAAATATTTTGTGGGCCTGGGCTTCCTGTCAATTTTGTCGAAAACAAGTGATCGAAAGATATATAGTTTAAAAAAATACCAGTAATGTTATTGAAAAACCAAATAAAAATAAAGTGCAAGTAACTGTTGGGCAGTAACAATAAAAATATGGTACTGGGATATAACTTGTTGGAAATAAAAAAATAT